ATGTGGTAAATTGCACTAATTGGTGTTGACATGGTGGTTGAGACCTTCCTGGGTTATTTGGTAATTATTTTACACACTGGGAGTTGGGTTGATAATGTTTTACTTGGGTTTTTTCAATCTATGTTCACAATGGAAATTGTCCTGAAATTGTCCTTTATTCCATGGGCCTAGTTTTGTTCCCCAGAAAGTGTGCCCGGGAGCGGCCTCTCTTGCTGTCCCTGGAAGATCGCTGGGCCTTGAAGTCTGAGTGTGATTCTCCAGGACGCCAGGCTGTGGGTGACTCCCCGTGTTGTACTTTGTATGTTAGTTCTGGGTGGATGCTCCCCTCCCAGACGCCGGCCTTTCATGATTATAAATCTGGTCCCGCTTCCCTTTCTCCTACAGTCAGTTCCCAGGAGTGATACTCGCCTAAAATGGTCCATTTCACCTGATGGCAACTTTGTTTAATGTGGTTGTTCATACTAACCTCTTCCGAGTTTTAAAATCTCTGCCCTGCCCATGTGTCTGGTCTCCTCTTTATTACTAATATTATTTGTGCACCATGTTTCCTGCCCGATGGATCTTGCCACAGGTTTGCCAATTTCATTAGATTTAAGGAACTCACTTTTGGCTTTGCAACCCTGTAATTTCTTTATTATCTAGTCCAGGGGCTTCTTTTATTTGTTTTAAATTACCCCTGACTTTCTTCCGTTGGTTAGCCTGTCTTTTATTCTATTCCTTATGCTCTCTTTCGGTTTCCTCTGACATAATTTTTCTCAGTTCTTGACTTAAACATGACATTCTCTGTTCTATTTTTACTAAATCCAGAAAGGACTGGTCATTTCGCTCCAGGTACAAGTCACCATCTCCCTGTGAATAGTAGTAGGTGGGATTTTCACCATTGTGAGTCATATATACATTTAATTTGCATTCTTTCCAGATGTAGGAGGGCTTCTGCCCATTTTTGATATAAGTGTAAGAAAGGTTAAAATAACAATGTAGCCTGTTGTTTTCTAATACCAGGCAACCGTAAGAGACCTCTGAGAACAGAAGTTCAGGCTCAGTATTTACCGAGGATGTAAACAAAGGCAGAGAAATAAAACGTCCAGTGTCAGTAACAAAAGATGGTTCACAGGTCATCCCTCGTAAACTCAGACAGTGAACTTGTGGGCAAGTGGCCTTGTCGCATGGTGTTCAGCTGTGATCTGCTCCTGTTCAACGTCTATCAAAGTCATATGTGACCATATAACTGCAAGTATGCAGACCTTCCCAATCCATGCAACAGAACACACACACACACACACACACACACACACACACACACGCAGAAAATGATGCATGGGCACCCATGGAGGGAGGCCCTAGGAGGCTACGGGGCCGGGAGACCAGCCTGGGGCTGAAAACTCAGTCCTGGGTGGCAGTGTGCCCGCAGGACCCTGGGCTTCCAGCCTTCTTCCCCAGCCGGCCCTGGACCAGGGAGGCAGCCAGGCCACTGCACCTGGCGATGCTCCTGGCAAAACTGATCACCTCAGGGGAGAGCAATCCAACTACCAACCAGGACGCTGGGAATGTCCCACAGGGAGGCGGCTGCACCTCCAGCTGCGGGGCCTGTGCAGTAGGAGCCCAGCAGGCAAAGCCTAGGGAGCCCAGGTGCTGCCAGTCAAGGTGCCCGCCCATTAGAACCCGGTGGGGACCAGGGGGCCTGGGTCTCCCGGGGGAGGGAAAGTGGAGAGTGAAGAGCAAGCAGGAGGCCGGAGGGGACGGTGCAGGTGGAGCCCCCACAGCCTGGGTGTCACAGGCTGGCACCCCGGGTCTAGGACAGAGGGCCTGGTTGTGGGAGAACAGCCACCAGGAGAGGTGCCAGGGAGCAGCACACAGAACTCGGGGGCCTTGGTCAGAGCCCCGGCGGAAACTGCGGAGCTGGGCGCTGCGTGGAAGCCGGTCACAGGCGCTGCCCTCGGTGAGGAGCAAGGCCGTCCTGTGGACACAAAGCTGCGCTGTGGCCTGTGTCCCTCTGAGCATCGGGCAGAGTGAGTGAGGTCAGTGTCGATGTCAGTGTGGTCACAGGTGTCCCGTGGTCGGTGGGGCCCGAATGGGACAGCCAGTGCCATGAATGAGGGCCTCCAGGAGCCATCGCTGCCCGGGTCCAACACCTCCATTGTGACCGGTGAGGACTCGTGGACGCTGGCACATTGCTGCCCCCTCAGCACCCCCACCCGCCCTCGCTGGCCCAGCCTCCACTGCAGTGTTGCAAAATGGGGCTGTTAGGTAACAGAAGCTGTGCCCTTTGCCCACCTGCCCTCAGCCTTCCCCTATCAGGGCTCAGACATCCTCATCACAGCCGCGGCTTTGATCCTGACCCTGATGCCCACGCAGCCCCACCCTCACCCTGTGCATCCATTCCTGTCACTCACACCCGCACCCTGGGGCCCCCAATGGCGGCCTGAGGCCAGAAGGACTCCTGTTCAGAGCAGGAGTGCAGGGCACTGCCCCCCTCCCTCCCACACACAGCTGCTGGCCTGAATGCCCACGTGCACTTTATCTCAGCATCCCCTCTTCTTTTTTCTTAATCCTCACCCGAGGGTATTTTTTTCGATTGATTTTTAGAGAGAGTGGAAGGGAAGGGGAGAGAGAGGAGAGAGAAAAGCATCAGTGTGAGAGGCATATCAATTGGTTGCCTCCTGCAGGCACCCCAACCCGGGGCTGGGGATCAAACCTGCAACCCAAGCACATGCCCTTGACTGGGACTCAAACCCAGGCCTCTTTGCTCTGCGGTCCGATACCTCAACCAATGAGCCAAACCAGCCAGGGCCCCCTCTTCTTTTTTAAATTTATTTGCATATACACACCACGTCATAAATACAGAGATCATATCAGCTTTGTTTTTTTCCTTATTAATTTTATACCCACCCTTCAACCCTCTCCCCTTGGGAAACCACCCATTTGTTCTCTCTACCTATGGGTCTGTTTCTGTTTTGTTGTTCGTTTGCTTTGTTGTTGTTTTTTTTAGATTCCACATATGAGCTGCTCATTTCTCAACATCTTTGCAAACATGTGGTTTTATTGCACTTTTTCATTTTCTCCAACCTGATGAGTGTGACACTGTATGTCCTTCTATTTCCCTCAGTTTTCCTCTGATTGTGAAGGAGGCCAGTCAGTGCTTACGGCCACTCAGTTGTGTCTGGAGAATGGCATGCAGTGTGTTTCCCATTAATGCTTGTTTCCTGTGTCCCACACCATTCCTCCGAATTAGTATTTCTTCTTCCTGGAATAAATCCTGAAGTAGTTCTGTTAATGAGTGCCTGCGGGTGATAAGACACTCTGTGTGTCTTCTGTTTTGTAATGTCACTCTTTTTTCCTCCATATTGTGTGACAGTTTATCTGGGAATAAAATTTTATGTTGATGGTGATGTTTCCTCACCACTTCCAAGGAATTGCTCCAGGTTCTCCTTCCACCTCCTGTTGCTGATCAGAAATCCCCTGTGTCTGATAGTCATTTCCTTTAGGTTAAACTCTCTCTTGTCTCTGCTGGCTTTTCATGTGGACATTGTGCAGTTTCACTAAAATGGGTTTAGGTGTAAAATTTATTTGTGTTTATTCTGCTGAATTTTCACAGGGCACTTTCCACTGAAGGTTCACAATTTTTCTTTGATTCTAGAAAATTCTCAGATATTTATGTACCGATACCATCTTTTAGTTTTTCCAGACAGTTTTTTACGTTCCTAACAAGGGGTTCTCAATCTCTAATAAGCCTCTGAAGTTGGAGGCTCTCAAACCATCAAACAAGAAGCACTTTCATGTTTTATGGGGATTTTCATGATTCCTCTGTTACTGAGATGCTGATGTTGAAAACCAAACAAGCCAACATTCAAGCTCACTCTGAGAATGGTCCTCCACCCCCCAAATCCCTTCCAAGCTCAAGCCTCTGTCCCCACCACCTCTGTCCCCACCACATCTGTCCCCACCTCCTCTGTCCCCTCCACCTCTGTCCCCACCACCTCTGTCCCCACCTCCTCTGTCCCCTCCACCTCTGTCCCCACCACCTCTGTCCCCACCACCTCTGTCCCCGTCTCCTCTGTCCCCACCACCTCTGTCCCTCTGCCCGGAGCCCCTTCCCCCTAATGCCGACCATTGCTCATGCTTCATGAGCTGGGCCTGGCAGCTCAGCCCCCTCAAACCCTCCCAGCAGGTCCAGGCTGGATGGACACGCCCTGTGTCACCCCAGCTCTGTGTTCAGCACTCACCTCCACACCGTGTCCCACACTCACTTCAGTGCTGTGTTTATGTCTGTCCTCACCTCCCTGTGGGATCCAGGAGCCCAGCAACCTACTCAGTGACTCCTTGCCCTCGAGACCTTGTCCATGCTGGGCACATGTGATCAAGGATAATTAAAGGAGGGAAGGAGGAGAGGAGGGAAGAGAACTAAGAAGAAACAAGTATGACACAAGAGAGAGAGAAGAACATAGAAGAGCAGAAAAGAAAAATAAGAAGCAGGGCAAGGAGGGAGGGGAGGAAGACAGGAAGAGGAAGTGGAGGGGTGGAGGGAGGGACACTGGGACAAGCATAACCCGCATGAGCTCCCAGAAATGCCATCACAGGGAACTGAGCCCTGGAAACCTCCTCACACCCGAACACGGAGACCTGGGACCCAGGGACTCTCAGGGAGGCCCCCACTGCGCCCTCAGTCACCGTCATGATGAGTCCATGCCACCGTCTCAGCCACGGCTTGGAGTGGCTTTTCCAAGTTTAATAGGAATCAGGGGGTGAGCAGGAGGCCATGGGCCCAGGCCCCTTGTCCTGGCCCCCCTACTGTGAGAGACACCAGCCTGCGGAGCATCTCCTGTGTCTGCCACCCTAAGTCAGGACAGGAGGGGACCCAGAGGGCAGTAGGCTCTTGACACAGTGGAGGGTGAGACGAAGGGTGAGGAGGAGGGAAGATGAGGCTGGAATTGGGAAAGAACAGGGGTGTCAACAAGGAAGATTGAGGGTCTCCCCATCATGGGAACCATGCCTGGCCTCATCTAGAAACCAGGGGGTGGAGGGACATACTTCCGGATCCAAGAAATGTAGCTCATCACCCGGGCATACACCCCAGGGAAGTCGCGATGTCCACAGCTGTATCCCCAGCTCACGATCCCTACCTGGACCCAGGTGCCTTCCCAGCTGCACACCAGGGGTCCCCCGGAGTCACCCTGTGGGGAGAGGCAGGACTCAGTGATCATCTTTACACGGGCCACTGCATGGAGCTTCTGAGTCCTGATTCCCTGGGCCAGGGGGGCAAGGAGGACAGAGGACAGGGCAGAGGGGGCTCACCTGGCAGGAGTCCTGGCCCTCACTCCCAGCGCACAGCATGTCATCCTTAATGATCTGGCCAGTGTTGGTGGAAGAGTTCTGGTAGCGCTGGTTACAGACCTCGTTCCCCACCATGGGAACCATCACCTCCTGCAGCTGGTAGGGCCAGAGCCACGGAGCTGTGGGGAGGGCTGGCTGAGAACCAGGGCTGGTCCAGGCTTCTGCTCCTTCCCAACAACAAGGTACTGTTTCCAGTCCTTCTGGGCCCTGACTCTTGGGTGTAGAACAGTTACACCTGGCCCTGGGACTGAGCTCCCAGCATCCACTACACCCATTCAGTTCTAGGACGCAGCACTTCATCAGCCACAGTCTGGGCTCCACGGGCCTGAGAGTGTTATCCCAGGATTGTTCTCCTTGAAAAGGAAGGGATCAGGGCTCATCCCGGAGAAATGCGTCACAGCAGGAAGGAAACACTTCTGCGCTGATGGGTGGGTCTTCATCCTGATTGAGGGACCTGGGCACTGTGAGATCATGACAGGCCCTGCCTCTCGCTCCCAGACTGGCTCATCCTCAGGAGGACAATCCAGGTCCACCCACCCCCACGGGGCGAGGGGAGGACACAGGCAGAGCCACGGGAGGGCCTGTCGCCTGCAGAGCAAACACCTGTGTCCTCAGTGTCCATGAATCTGATCATGAAAACCCAGCTCTGAACACATTTAGGCTCAACAGGAAATCCCCCCTCTAGTAACCAAATGTAGAATTAGCACATGGCCCAGAACTCCCACTCCTAGTCTGTGCCCCAAAGAACGGAAAACAGGGATCCAAGATGGAGACAGAGTAGGTGGAAGTGACCCTCATCTCCTCCCAGGACCAAACCGGAATCACAACTAAATTATAGACACTCAACCTGAATAACCAACTGAAGACTGGCTGAAAAGAGGTCTCCTCATTAAGGACACATGGAAGAAGCCACATGGAGAGGGCAGGGAGGGTGGAGACACAGAAAGGGCTGCATTGAGAGTTAGGAGGGACACCTCAGCTGCAAAGGTCCCCTCTGAGAAGGGAGGGGTCTCCACCCCATCCTGAGCTCCCAGCCTGGAACACCAGTGCCTGGAAGAGGAGCTACACAACATCTGGCTGTGACCATCAGTGGGGACTGCACTTGCCAGAGTGAGACAGGGGACAGCTAGGCACCCAGACGCCCTTTTAAAGGGCTAGTGCACAAACATCTCATTGGCAGCTCCTCAACCTGACTGGGCTCCAGTAGAGCAACATGGCCCAGAGTTGACAGGAGTCATACAGGGAGAGATTAGTTGTATGACTCTGGGGAGAGGGCTGGAGGGGCAGCCTCCATTATCCAGGGCTGAGAACTCTCCCACATGCCCACAGATGCCATCTTTTCTGAGTTGAACATCCCCTCCATAGGGCATCAGCCTGGGGGAATGAACGTGCCTCCCCCCCCAACCCCGCCCACTCCAGGCTGCCAGTTGGCTCACCCGACCAAGTTCATGCCCTGCAGGGGAGTCTGCCAGCTGCAACCAGCCTGGGCCCACACAGTCTTTCTCAGAAGCTCTGGAGGAGGTCTGAGCAGACTCCAGGGCTGTTGGAGACACACAGGGAGAGACAGAGTTGTGTGTCTCTGAGGCCAGGGCCATTTCTCCAGGCACCCGACTAGCTCCACTGTGCACAGCCCTCCCTCCTCACTGCCAAATCCTAATCTGTGTGATCCTGAAGAACTCTACTGGCCTCACCCTGACGACTCCCAGAAACCCTACCCCACTGCAAAGATTTGAAGACCTCAGGTGGTTGGTGGGTGGTGGTGGTGGCTGGCCTTATTGTGCCCTGAGACTTTTGTTGAGTGGTGTCAGACCCAGCACTGGCGCTGAGTTTGAATCTGAATCAACCTGATGAACACCACTCGCTCCAACCCAATGACTCATTGAGAATCTACCTCATGCAACTCAACTACCACAGCAGGGCTCACCTCACCACACAAGGGACATACATTTCTGGGCACCTAGCTTAGCTGGAGGCTCTGTCAGTGGCTGGGTCTAATGGCAACTGGCAGGCAGAGGCAGATTTTGGGCTGCTTTGGGGCCTTTTGTGTCCTGACGCAGGTTTGGTATTGCTGGGAATCACCTCAGTATGCAGCTTGGCCCCTCCCACGTGCACCCAGGCCTAGCAGAGGGAGCCACCAACTGTGGAGCACGTTGTTGCGTCTAACAGGCAGCCCAGGATAGGCCACAGGCAGTGTCTGACCTTGACCTGCACCACAGTGCCTCCCTGGAGGCCCCAGAACCAGCCCACAGCAGAGTTCAACCAATTAGCTCCACAAGCGGCACACTCAAAGGCAGATCTCCGCAGGCACCAGACCCTGCCGGGGCAAATTCTGCTTCATGGGGTCAGCCTACTCACAGCAGCTCATACAGTGTGATCGGGGTCAATACTCAGTCAGTCAGCTTGAGGATCAACCCTGCCTACCACAGGCCAACCACAATCAGGACTCAACTACAACAGCAGGGTTCACAGAACCCACACCAGGGACATTCCTGGGGCACCCAGCTTAGGGAGTCAGGGAGACTGCTCCACTGAGCTCCACAGGACATGTACTCAAAAAGCCACCCTACCAGGACTGGGGACATAGCAGATCTACCTGACACAGAGAAACAAATACAGAGAGGCGGCCAAAATGGGGAGACAAAGAAGCATGCCCCAAAACAAAGAATAGGAGAAACCCCCAGAAAAAGAACTAAATGCAATGGAAACAAGCAATGTACCAGATACAGAGTTCAAAACAATGGTCCTAAGGATGCTCAAGGAACAAAGGGGAAGGGTGGATGAGCTCAGTGAGGACTGCAATTAAGAGACAGTAAGCATAAAGAAAGGACTAGAAACCATAAGAGAAAACAGTCAGAAATGAAAAATATGAGATCTGAAATGACTACACTAGAAGGAATCAATAGCAGGTTAGATAAAGCACAAAATCAAGTCAGCAGTTTAAATGACAAGGTAGCAGAAATTATTTAATCAGAGTAGCGAAAAGAAAAGAAGATTTTTAAATTAGGATAGTTTAAGGGACCTCTGGGACAGCGGTCACCAACTGGTGGTCTGTGAGGTCCAAAAGCTTGGCAACCGCTGCTCTGGAACAACAGAAAGCATAACGTTTGCACCATAGGGGTACCAGAAGAAGAGAGAGAGCAAGGGGGTGAGAACCTATTTGAAGAAATAATGATTTAAAACTTCCCCAACCTGGTGAAGAAAAAAACATACAAGCCCAGGAAGAACAGAGAGTCCCAAACAAGATGAACCCAAAGAGTCCACACCAAGACACATAATAATTAAAATGGCAGAGGCTAAAGACCAAGAGAGAATCTTAAAATCAGTAAGAGAAAGACAGTTACTGACAAGTGAGGTCCCATAAGACCAATTTCTCAACAGAAATATTTCAGGCAGAAGAGATTGACATGAAATATTTAAAGTGATAAAGAACAAGAATCTACAACCAAGACTACTTTACCCAGCAAGGCTCTCTTTTGTCCTAGCTGGTCTGGCTCAGCGGCTAGAGTGTCGGCCTGGGGAATGAAGGGTTCCGAGTTCAATTCCGGTCAAGGGCACATGCCTGAGTTGCAGACTTGATCCCCAGTAAGGGGCATGCAAGAGGCAGCCTATCAATGATTCTCTGTGATCGTTCATGTTTCTATCTCTTTATCCCTCTCCCTTCCTCTCTGAAATCAATAAAAATATATTTAAATATATTTAAAAATATATTTAAATATATATATATACCACTACGTTCACTGCAGCATTGTTTACAGTGGCCAAGATGGAAACAACGGAAGTGTTCTTTGCCAGATGATTGGATAAAGGTGTGATACAAGTTTACAATGGAATACTCCTCAGCCATCAGAAAACATGACATACAGCCATTTAGGACAACATGGATGGATCTTGAGAACATCATGCAAATTAAATAAGTCAAACAGAAAAAGGTAAAAACCATACGATTTCACTCACACGTGGAATATAAAACTGAAAGCAGCAAATGAACAAACAAGAAAAAGAAACAAACCAAAACTCATAGGTACAGATAACAGTGTGGTGGTCACCAGAGGACAGGGGGCAGGGTGGGAGGAAAGGGTAAAGGGGTCACTACAGGTGACAGAAGATGTGACCCTGGGTGATGGGCACACAATGCAAGATACAGAAGATGTACCATAGAACTGCACACTGAAAACCTCTATAATCTTGTTAACCAATGTCATCACAATAACTTGTAGAAAATGAGATATAAATAGCAAAAGAAGGACATACAGAAAGCCAACAGACATATGCAAAGATGCCCAATGTCACTAATCATTAAAGAAATGCAAATTAAAACCACAATGAGATATCACCTCCCACCTGTCAGAATGGCTGTCATCAATACATCAACAAGCAACAAGTTTTGGTGAAGATGTGGAGAAGGGGGAGCCCTCACGCGCTGCTGGTGGGAATGCAGACGGGTGCAGCCCTGTGGGAGACAGTGTGGAGGTTCCTCAAAAAACTAAAAATGGAACTGCCTTATGACCCAACCATTCCACTTCTGGATGTAGATCTGAAGAAACCCAAAACATAATTGGAAAGAACATATGCACCCCGATGTTCATTGCAGCGTATGTACAATAGCCAAGATGTGGAAGCAACCCGAGTGCCCATCAATAGACAAGTGATAAAAACATGGTGGTACAAAGAAGGTGGGGCAAAAGTAGGCTTACGGTTATGAGTAGGCAAAATACAGAGTTTCTTCTTGTATTATTATTTATTTATTATTGTATTGTTTTCCGTATGAACAACTATAAACTTACTTTTGCCGCATCCTGTATGTACAATGGAATATTACTCAGCCATAAAAAAAGAAACCTTACCATTATGCTAAGTGAAATAAGCAGTCACAGAAAGACAAATACCATATGATTTCACCCATATGTGGAAACTAAAGAATAAAACAAACAAACAAAAGAGAAACAGGCTCATAGATCAGGGAACAGACTGGTGGTTGCCCGAGGGGGAAAAGGAAGGATTAAAAAATACAAATTGGTAGCTGTAAAACAGTCACAGGGAATGTGAAGTACAGATTAGGGAACATACTCAATAATATTGTCATAGCTGTGGGTGGTGCCCGGGGGGTATGGAAATATCGGGGGGAACGACACTTTGTAAAGTATATGATTGTCAAACCACCATGCTGTACGCCTCAAACTAATTCAAAATAATATTGAATAGAAACTGTCATTGAAAATGTTTTAACGACTTGAGAACAGGTTCCCTGGCGGTGCCTGAACACACAGGTCACAGCAGCGTGACTCACAACAGCCAAAAGGTGGACGTCTGTCGTTCGAGAAGGTCGACAAAATGCTCCCTCCACCCAGTGGGAGGTTCCTCGGCCACAAAAAGCAATGCAGTTCTGACACAGGTTACAGCACAGCTGAGCCTGACAGCGTCATGCTACGTGAAAGAAGGCAAACACGCGGAAGCCACACGTTGCATGACTCACATTTACATGAAACGTCCAGAACAGGTAAATGCATAGAAGAGGAAAGGAGCTCCGTGGTTGGCAGAGCCTGGGGAGGGGAGTGACCGTGTCATGGAGACCAGGCTTCCTGTGCGAGGATGAGAAGTTCTGGAGATGGTGGTGCTGAGGCTGCACAACATGGTGAATGTGCTGAACGCCACTGAACCGCGCACTGACCAATGTCATGTATAATGTTATGCACATTTTTCCACAAGAAAAAGGTGGAGGATTCCCCCAAATTGCAGAGAATAAACTGTTGTCAGCAAAGCCACAGCCACACACCCAGCGGGCTGCACTGTGTCCACACGCCCAGCGGGCTCCCAGAGCCTTACCTCCGAGGCTGCTGTAACCCCAGCCGGTCACCCAGCACATCTTCCTCTCAGGGACCCTCAGCGAGGCAGGTGGGAGGGGGACCAGGCCGATGCGCTCAGAGAGCGTCACAGGGGCCTCCAGTTTCAGCAGGGCCACGTCCGCGCCCCCCTCTGCAGACAGGCTCTGGTTGAACTTGGGGTGGCGGACGATCTGAGTCACATTTGTCAGTGTGTCATGGTCATAGAGTCTCAGCTGCCCAACTTGAACCCTGAGGCCATAGGCCTCCCAGTCCTCCCTGGGGAGAGGGACCAGGAGCCTCTCAGAGGAGCCTCCGGGGCAGGGCCAGTCTGGGCACAGCAGCAGGGCTGGGGCTGCACTAACTGTGTCTTTCCCTGAGGCCCCGGGCCCTGCCCACAGCCCCCCTCCCATCAGCCCTCTGTGAGTTTCCCACCCACACCCCTGCCAGGGGGCCTCGGGCTGTGTGGCTCACCGCTGGGTGCAGTGGGCTGCGGTCAGCACCCACTGGTGGTGGATGAGGGAGCCCCCACAGAGGTGCTGCCACAGCTCCAGCTCCTTATTGTACCTTCGGACGCTGACCTGCCAAGGCCATCGCCCAGCGGGGGCATTGTGCGCCCCAACGGGGCCACCCTGCTGCCTCCCTGAGCCGGGACCTGGGAACACAGGGGACGCCATCAGGGAGCCAGCAGGGCCCCTCGCACTCAGTCTCTGCCAGGGCGAACCAAGGAGGCCCACCTGAGTTGACGCAGAGGGGCCTGGGCAGCCTGAGCAGAAGATGGGGACAGGGAGTCAGGACTCACCTGGGAACGAGGGCACGGAGCCCCCCAGGCCTGGGAGGCTCAGGAACAGCAGCCACAGCATCTGCGGGGATGGCAGGGGCCTGGGTGAGACCACTAGAGGCCGGGGTAACCGTGTGGAGATGGAGAAGCCGGGGCCTGAGCAGCGACATCCTCACCTGGAGGGACCCTCCTTGGGACCCTCTCTGCACCCCTTCATCCCCGGGCACAGGAAGGGCAGGCGGGGGCCCCTGGCTGGGCCATGGGCAGAGAGAGCTGCTCCCCTCTCAGGCCCACCCCAGGGTTAGTCAGCAGGCAGCGAGGAGATGCTGCTGGGCCCTGACCCTACCTGCTCCGGACCTGCCACCTGCTGTCACTGGGCAGCAGCCATCTCTGGCTGCACGGATCTCAGCCACAAAGCACAGCCAGGCCGGCGGCCTGAGCAAGGAGAGCTGCCAGGAGGGGGCCGTTTTGCTGGAAGAAGCCCCGGAGCGCTGGGCCCAGGCAGACGGGCTCAGGGAGGCAGAGCCCCAGAGCTGCTGCTGGGCCCCTGGAGCCACAGGGCAGCCCCTGAACCCGCTGGACCCTGTGAGGCAGCATGGAGCTCGCCACCATCTGACCAGAGCATGCCATCTGCCTGGCACGTGGCCTGTGGCCACCTCACTGCCACCAGCTGAGGCCATGCACACTGCCCCCTGCAGGGTGCTCTCCAGAAGCTGCACCGAGAACGGCTTTCATGTGGGTACAAGTCAGGGAGAGGCACCTGGGAGGCAGGTGGATGGAGCAATGCTGGGCAGAGGGCGAGGCTGGAGCACAATGCAGGCTGATGACACCTTGACCAGCCCACAGGGAGACCCAGGCCATGGCCCCCACTGGGACACAGTGCCAGCCCTGCCTCTCCCTGCGCCAGCCAAGACGGACCTGCCGGGGCGAGGCAGCCAGAGGAACTGCTAGGCCTCCCATCAGTTCCTGCCCTGAAGGGGGACCTGGCCTGCCCCTGTGTCTGGCAGCGTCCACCGCCTTCTGCCTCGTGTACTGAGGAGGCGCCACAGGACCACCGAGGAGTCCTTGCCCAGGAAACTGGGAAGCAGAGGCTCAGGGTACAGCTGAGGCCGACAGGACCCCTCCACTGTCCACCTGGGTCCCACCCTTTGCTACTAACTGTGACTCTGGGACTTACCTGGTAGCACGACCCAGACCCCCATCCCTGAGGTGCTGAGCTCTGGTCACATGGACTTCTCAGGCCGGGTGGCTGCACGTGTCCACCTGCCATCACATTGACGAGGGGGTGGCAAGGGACACGCAAGGGCCCTCACCTTCCCTGCCCCCCATTGTGACACAGCAGCCCTGCCTCTGCCTGGTGGTCAATGTCATTGTCCCACCAAGATGGTGGCACATGTTGCTCCGTGGCCTCCAGACACAAGGAACTCAATGTACCCAGACACCAGCTGTCACTCCCTTCTCAGGAACAGTCCTCAGTGCAGGCTGCATGTCCTGCCTTGTCTTGCCCCCCGCGGGGCTTGCCCATCACCAATACTTTTACCACCATCGTGTCTGCTGGGACCTGTGACGCCAGTGCAGCTGGACCTGCAGCAGAGCCCTGTCCAGCGCTGGGACCACTCAGAGCCGGCAGCCTGTTGTGGGGCCAGCGTCACGGGCTGGAGGGCACTGTGAGGTGGGGAGCACGCTGCTTCCCTGACAGGGGCAGAGGCCCTCACTGGCCTGTTGCTTTGATGGGGACCCCTGGGTGCTGGGCCGTGGGAATCCTAAAGATTTCCTGTGGCCAAGCCCTGCGACCTCAGGGGCGCGCTCCCCTCTCAGGAGCACACAGCCTGGTGGCCTGTAGTCTCACCAGTGAGGGAGTCAGTGTGGACCAGCGCGGCCCCTCAGAACCTGACCTGCTTTAGGAATAAGTGCAGATGCAACCAGTTCAGATGGGGTCAGAGAGGAGGGGGGAGGCCCTAAATCCAATGATGGTTCCTTGTAGGAAGAGGTGAGGAGGCGGAGAGCACAGAGGGGTGGGGAGGACAGGGTAGGGTTCCAGGGGCTCCTCCACAGGGAAGTGTCCCAGCTCCACCAGCACCTGTAGGAGGCAGGAGCCTGGGAGGAGGTGTGGCCCCAGAACAACTTGATTGCGGGCTCCTGGCCTCCTGCGGTAAGAGGATGCATTTGTGTTGTTTTAAGCTCACACCTCCCCAGTCATGGGCTGTCACTGCGACCACAGGACACCACACAGGGGGAGAGCCTGGTGGTGACAGAGGTGTAATGTCCACCTGGAAGGTCATGTGCCTGCATGGAGTCTCCATTCCAAGTCCTGAAGGTGTCTCTTGACACTGAAGACAAGGGGAAGAGGCCTATGCCTGTGGGCCCTCCCTAGGGTCCCTATGGGTACTGACCTGGCCTGCAGGGGTCTCTATTGGGGGACAAAGCCCTGCTGGCTCAGTGTCCCCCACCTCTGCAGGCCCAGGGCTCAGTCATTACAGATTTCAGAGACCTGAGGCAACAGGCCTTCCTGTCCATCTCCAGCCTAGGCATCTGGCTCCGCCCACCTTCCCTTACTGCTGAGATGAGGAAGCCAGGTGCTAGGGTGGTGATTCCAGGCAAGATGGGGTGGGGGTGGGGGGTGGCGGACAGCAGCCCTGAGCACATCCTCTGGAGAGAGATCCCTGCGGGTCCACCCCATGGCCACGCCAGCAGACACAGCCCCAGGCCCAGGTGTGTCTCACTCCAGCCTTCCTTCCAACACCAAGTTCTAGGTCCTTCTCTCTCCCTTGGGAGCGCTGGCCTCTGAGTCACTCAGACCCTCAATCTTAACCCTGGAAACACTAAAGGTCTGACTACACCCTCACCCAGGGAGGAAAGCCCTGCAAAGACTCAGAGTCCCCCTGAGTCCAATGGCAAGGCAGGCAGCCCACACCCTGCTGGGGAGCACAGGGGGCCTGGATGTGTGTGAACCACCTGGCAGCCGCCCAGACACAGGGCATCGTGGACAGGCAGTCACTTAGGCTGTCTGGTCCCGGGCCCCTGCAGGTCCGCCCTGCTCCGGAGAAGCTCCGGATGGGAGACTGAGGATCTGGTGGAAATGAGGCTGCACTTCATTTGGTCCCAGGAGTTGATCACATTGGAAAATGGGGGTTTGGCGCGCCCCCGGGACAGAGGGAGCAGCGGTGACCATGGAAACACAGCACCTCCTGTTTCCATGCGGCCACGTCCAAGTCATTAAAGCCTCCATGACACACTGACTGCGACTGAAGGAGGAAGAGGGGCGGTCTGCACCCTCTGGGGGCGGCCCTCCGGGCTGTGGCCTCCAGCCCCGGGCAGCACACTCCCCTCCACCCCAGCCAAGAGAGCCGCCAGGTCGCCCTCTTCCAGCTGCAGCCATAGCTGCCCCTCCCACCTGGTCCACCTCCCAGAGCCTGGGCTCCCCCAGCAGCCGAACCGCCCACTGGCCGCCTTGGCCGCGCCCACAGGTAAGTGCACTGAGTCCAGAGCAGTTTTTCATGCAGTTTAATGAGCTACAGAGGGTGGGGAGGAGGCAGGAGTCCTGCAGAGCCCACCGGACTTCAGAGCACATCCCGCCTCTCCCTTTTGCCTGTCAGGGGAGAGAGGCTGATGGAGGTGCTGAGGCGGGAGGATCTCAGAGCAGGTGGGGGCGGGGGGAGGGGTGGAGGAGGCGCTAGGGGCAATGAAGAGCTGGCACTGGCAGGGAGCAGGGAGGGTCCCCCAGACACCCTGTGGGCCTGTCTTCATCTCATGGGCAGCATCCTTGCCCGGCCCCGGGCTCAAGGAGAGGAACGAATATGACCGCGGATCCAAGGCAAGAAGGATGTCACTCGGGCATAGACTCCAGGAAAGTTGGGAAGACAGTAGTCCTTGGGCCCCCAACTCACCACGCCTACCTGGACCCAGGTGCCCCTCAATTTACAGACCAAGGGGCCCCCAGAGTCACCCTGTGGGAAGAGGAGACAGGTGGTCAGTACTCAGGGCCCCTGCAGGCAGCAGCAATGGATGGAGGCCACAGTCTAGGGGTCTCACCTGGCAGGAGTCCCGGCCCCGGCTCCCGGCACACAGCATGTCGTCCTGGATAACATTGCCATATTGCTGCCGACAGATCTCATCCGCCACGATGGGGACCTCCACCTCCTGCAGATTTTTGGGCGGCGGCAGCGGCTCTGTGAGAAGAAGCCCAGTGAGCCTGTGGTCCTGAGGGGGCGTACAGTCACAGGCCGCGGGTTCTAGAACCACATGCTGAGCCTCAGTGCCCCCAGGGGAACCCAGGGAGTCACCCAAGACCCCAACTGTCTGGGTTCACTCGAGGCCAATGGGCTGATAATCTCTAGGCTGACACTGTGGGCACCAAGCTCCAAAAAGAAACAGGGAAATGTATTTTTATCCACAAATAATTTTTATTGGGAAAAATCAGAGCGGGTGCTTCCCCAAGAAATGCAGAGTGAGCGGCCCTGCTGTCACATTTGACTTTGTCCATTTAATAGTGAATCCTTGAGGTCGTCACTGAAGTTCTCTCTCCTCGTTCTCCCTCCCACTATCGAGACTCAGGGAGAACAGGGACCCCCGGAAGGGAAGACACAGGGCCTGGTGCAGAGTGAGGGAGAGAAATGCCCATGGCACCCTGGCCAGTGTTTCTCAGTGGTGAGAGCACTGGCCTCAAGGATCGCAGGTGTGATTCTTGGTCAAGGGCAAGTACCTGGGTTGCAGTTTCAATCCCCAGCCCCAGTCGGGAAGGCAGCTAACAGATATGTCTCTCACATCAATGTTTCCTATCGCTCTCCCTTCCACTCTCTCTAAAAATCAATAGAAGAAATATCACTGGGTGATATTTTTTTTTAAAAAGATGCCCATGGCCATGCCTCACTCTTGCTACTTTGGTCTCTGCTCCTTAACAGACTCCTCTCTTGCTGTCTGCCTCCTACACCCAAGGGAGCCCCCGA